ATGGTATATTATTTGAAAATAAATGATTTCCCATCAAGTAAATAAATAATTTATGTGCAGTGTAAAAAAAAAGTTAAGCAGTTGTGAAATCTAACGTCTTCTGCCTTTCATGAGATTTGATGACGCCAGGTGGGGCTGGGAGGACAGCAACATTGTACTATTCTGTTCCAGGAAGGTGTCCCAAGAGGAAGGAAAACTCAATCCTGTGATAAAATAAGATTAGGTCCATGTATTGGGATATCTGTTTAGAATTGCATGGTGAAGTTTTGAAAATGTCAAAGGCCTAAACTAAAAGACTCCCCTGATTCTGGGGGTGGTGGAATTAACTGCTATTTTGTCCTCCCGCCTTCCTCTTTTCCAGCCCACGTGACCCAAACTGAAACATTCCTTTGGGAGTGAGCCTCTCTCACAAAACTGTGCTGGAAAACTACATCCGCCGGCAGGCCAGGCCGCCACAGCCTCAGAAGTGGATGGGCACCACGGGTAATGTATCTCAACCTCCTCCTGATGCACCGTATTCCAAAGATTCTAAAGACAATTAAGTGAGAAACCACAGGGGTGGCTACAGGTCCATGTATGTCCAAATCTGATTCTAAGAGTGAGCAAGAGGGATCAGAAGTGAGAACAGCTTGGGTTGATCATAGGGGCAGATGGACAAGAAGTGGATCTTCTTTAGGTGATGTGGACGGTTAGGTGACAGGGGATGGATCCTCCCCTTGAGCCAGTCAGTTGGGGGACTGCAGCAGACACCACATCACCTCGTCTGAGTGTGGATTTCCCTCAGCCTGATAGATGCTGTGATTAAGCAGCATTGCTCCCTGGTCTCACTGTACGTGATTCTTATTCTCAAGACAAACCGGGCTTTGTGATGTCTTGGTGGTGAGAACTCTTTAGATTTGAAACATTGGGTCTATTTTTCATAAAACCTTAACTTACTTATTCCAAAAGTGCTTAGTACAAATGTATGTAATAATTTTGTTATGATGCTAATATCAGTAGCTCTTCTGAAAACAACTCTAAAGATAATGTACAATTATTATTACAATGCTTTTTTTTGGGTAGATTTCAGTACACTGTATAAACCTCATGGTACATTTGACCTCTAGTTAAATCTCTATGTGAGAGACTCAAAAGTGTGGGTTTAGTGTTGAGATAGATGCCCCACGAGTGTTAACAAGGAGAGAGAGGAAGGGAAGCAAACACCCCTAAGTTCCTCTTCCCCTGCAGACACCTCCCTGGCAAAGGACGCCCCTGGTGCACAGGGGGGTCGAAGTGGCCCCAGCAGACTTTGGAGAGAAGTTTCTCCCGTGTCTGCACAGCAGAGCCCAAGCCTTCAGTCTTCTGCCCTTGGCTTCCAGACATCTCCCCAACAGGGTTTCCTCATTTTACAGCCCTTTTAAGCCAAGAGGTGAAGAACAAAGTTTGGAATTTCTAAAGTTACTTTTCCTTCTATTCTTGCAATCTATCTCCCTGAGACAAGAGAATGTAAATTCATGGTGCCCTTGAAGAAGTGCAGATTTGACATTTATTGTAACTGAGGGCTCCCATTCAGCTCACATCCGATGACATTTCCTATAGAAATGTGAAAGGGTTGGTTACTCCAGGATAAGAAAAATAGATCTCACTGAGCTCCTCGTTGCCCCTCCTGGCTTCCAGAATGTGCTCCTACAGGGGACTAATCAGACCCCATCTGCTTGTCTTTTAACCTGAGGGCTGTGCCAACCATTTCTGTACTGATTAGCGTGGCTGTCACTTAGAGCTGCCCTCTTTCATTCTGTATTTTTCAAGGAAAAGGGAATCCAGTGTTGAAATGTGAGTGTATTTGCATATATTTAAAATTATTCATAGTTGTGAGGCAAATGAAAATAAGACTGGGCAGGAGGAAAACCTGTATTTCTTTCTGTTTTTGGAGAGTGCACACTGTGGAATTGTTCTGCCTGTGGTGCCCTCTTTGCTTGTTCTCCTCTGCTGGTTCTTTCTCAGCTTCCCCAACCTCTAAATCTTGCAGTGCACTGGGGCTCAATGCTGTGTTATCTTTTCTCCTCCTTCCACTCCCTTCCACTCCCACGTGTTCCTTGGCTTGAAACACCTTTACAGGAACAATTCCCAAATTTGTGTTTCCACCCCAGATCTCTTTTCTCAGTGTTAACTGTCCAACTAACATCTTCACTTGGATGTCTAACTGGCATTTTGACTTAACACCCCCAAAACAGAACACCTCATTTCCCCCCTCAATTCAGATTTTTCCTCCTATCAGTAAATCGTATCTACATTCCTTCTGCTATTTGGGCCAAAATTTTTGAGGTTATCCTAACTTCTTTCTCTTTTACTCACAACCAATTAATCAGAAAAATCAAGTGGGTTTATTTTAAAATATATGCAGAACTATCCCTTCATCTCCATTACCCTGGTCCAGCATCCTCTCTAGGTTGTGTAGTCTCCATGGCAACAACCTATACCTAGTCTCCCTTGTTATAATACTATAACAACTATAATAAACTAAATAATTTCTAATATGCAAGACATTTGTTTTAGAGGTATATAACATTGAGAATCATGAAAGCTATGCAAATCATTCCTGTAACATTTTATAGGTAATAAAACTGAGGCTTAGAGAAGTGAATAATTTGTGATCCAGACATTTTGTGACACAGCTCTAGTTTGAACAAACTCCAAAACCAATTTCACATAATATTCTACCTCTGTTGTCCCACCCAGAGGGCGGTCTGCACTGATGGGAATCCGGAGCCATGTTGGAGGAGGAGGCCACTTTGGCAGGTGTGTTAGGTAGGGGCGTTTAGGGCCTTGTCATATCGTAGCATTGAAGTAACCCACGTAGGTGCCTTCCTACTTAGTCACCACAGAAGCGCAGATTTGTTCGTTTAAATCAGAAATTAACTTTTTGGAATATGTATAAATATAGTCAGAAGAAAATATGATAATGGTGAGCTGAAACTAGTAGATATAATATTATAGGAAAAAATACATCTGAGATTTACTAAACTTGCATTGAGTTGCTGATTAAAAAGAGAGAGCAAGCCAAACAAATTGAGGCATACATATAAAAGAATGGGTCCATAAAACACTGAAAAGAAAGGTATAATAAAATAGGTAAGAAAAAACCAGTAATAATCACTTTCCCCAGAAACACTAGATTATAAAACAAAATCCCTTGAATATAGCTTTTGACAAGTGATTTTTTTCACCAGATTTCCTTAGACATTAATTCAATAGTTTCAAATAGAATATTTGAAAGTTCTCTACATACTCTGTAATACTAATTTTTAATAATTTATAATGTGTAATGTTTGTCTTTACTATAAAACATTTTAAAAGCCCTTTATCACTCATATTTCTTTTCATGCACCCACCCTTATTGAATTAAATAATGTAACTTACCAGGAGGATGTCTTTCTATACTACCAAATGCCTTAAAGTGATAATTTGGAGAACACGGGCTGATCCAGAATGAACACATTCAAAATTTTCCTTTCCACCCCTACATATGTGTCTGTCTGTATTGTGCCCCACAAATAACCACAAGTTTATATTGTCCTGTCCAGAGGGGTGGGAAGGGGAGTGTTCCTGCTCAAGTCTGCTCTCCGTGGGAGGAGGAAAAATTGGTGCTCACAGGCCCGCCAAAGGAATTCACTTAAGCTGTGTACCAAATTTGGCAGGGCTGGTTTTACCTGCCTAAAGCTGGAACGGGCGAGACACCATTCGAGCCATCCCTAGGTTGGGGACACAAGTTCTACCTTGTGACTCCAGTGCAGCTCCGACCCATTCCTCTCCTAGCAACAGCTCAATTTACAATGTAAAGCATTGAGACACACTTTGTCACAAGAATGAGGCCCCGGAAAGATCAGTTCTTACCTTCTTCTCTTCCAAAGCTTATGGTTGGACACCAGATTTACTTTCCCCCATGAGTAAATGAAGAGAGAGAGGTTGGGGGGAGAAAAGAAGGAGGGAGAGGAAGAAGAGAAGGAGGAGAGGGAGGGAGGGAAGAAGGGGGACAAGGAAGTGGCTGGATCTTAATGAGATTGAACTCTGGTGTCAGGAACTTTGGAAGGCATATTCTCCAGGGTCCTTATTTTATTTCAGATAGTAAATAAAGCCCCTAGGGAAGGTTGTTAATTTATCTGGCCTATTTAGTATGTTAAATTATACTATTTCATAATCTAGGGGCCTGAAAAAGTTAATGTACCATTTGAATGGCATGAATGGTGAATACTTACACCAAGTCGTGGCACTTCCCAATACTGAACAAAGATTTAGTATATTTTGCTTAGGTGTGCTTTATTTTTTACTAGCATCAATGGGAAAAATAAAATAGTAACGTTCTGTTGGGAGGACAGCAGGACAGTTGCTGGTTAGGGTGGCATCTCAGAGTGAAAGATGCCTTAACACAGGGCCCTGATCCTCAGGGGAGGAGAGAGTATCAGAGAGGAAGAGGGAGGGAGATGGTACCAAATCCTGGGCTTCCTGGGCTGCTCCTCTTTTTGTCTGGGTGCAGTAACGGTCTATCCCACAACCTTGGGTTTTCTGAACCCCAAGATGACGCTGGATGCTGATTTCTGTCTTTTAAAGCTCTGAGGATGCCTTTCTGTTCCAGAAAATTCTTGAACCGGGTTCCGCTTCTGTATAAAGGAGGAGGTGTGGTGAAATAGACACAGGCAAAAAGCGCTCTCCTTATTTTTACAGATCCAACAAATGAATAAATCACTGAAAATACAACAAATAAATGAGTAAATGGATAAATTAAAATTAAATTTCTAAGAAGTAGCTCTTGGTGCGTCCAAACTCCCAGTTACCCAACAAATGATATGTAAACGAAAGGCTTGCAAATTGTCAAATGCCTGCGGTTAACCACAGGGCTTCTTGGATCTGATCCCTCTAGGAGACCGGTAATTGGCTGAAAGAAAGGAAGTTAGCATTCCTGAGCACTTTTGGGTCTCTGATTCTGCCGGGGCGGGTTCCTGGAGTTCAGGGCAAGCTTGTCACCGGGCTGCCTGCGGGCCCGGTAGGGCACACCTGCCTCCCTTCAGTGAATGCTTTCCTGCTGCCTCCCTGTTTACTCCCCAAGGCGGAGGGACTGGAACAGTCAGGTGTGACCCAGCAGGTGGAGTGACTGAGCTGGCCCGAGGGCAGCCCCAATATGAACTTGAGTGTGGGTGTGGGTTAATTTGGGTGGGAACTACCTGGAGACTACCATCAAGACGTCCTGCGCCTCGCTGGTGGGGTGTGTGCAAAGCAAGCAGAATAAATAGGAGACTCCCTCCTCCCGGCGACACTCAGGGAGCTGTGGCCGCCACCCTGGGTGTTTGCCTGCCCTGTAGCCAGGGTTCCAGCCTGAAGAGTAGTTTCGTTTCCTTCTGGCTCCAGGATTCGTTTCCAGCCCCCCCCCCCCCTTGGACGCCCGTGGCCTGGGAACGCGGCACAGGAGGAGGAGGGAGGCTGGTCTAGGGCCTGCCCGGCCCCGCAGCGCGGGTTTGATGGACCGCACCGCCCGGGGCAGCGGCGCCAACTCCCTGCCACGGCTCCTGGCACTGGGTAAGTGGCCGCGCTGGGCGCTGGAGACCCAGGAGGAAAGTCTGGGGTGGAGTGACAGGCAGAGGGAACTCTGATCCGTGCTGGCATCTGGACCCGAGGGCAAGTCCAGCGCTGGAGCTGACAGGGGCAGGTCAGAGAACTCGGACCGCTGGGAAAGGGCGAAGTTAAGGGTCCGGCAGTTGGGCACCTGTCAGGGCTGTCCCTGGGCGCGCGGGGCGGTCCAAGGGCGGAAGCGATCCTGGGCGCAGCTGCTGGTGCCACAGACTGTAGGCGCACAGAGGAGGACCGGGGTCCCTAAAGCCTTGAGGCTCAGTGGGGTCGCCATGCTGTGAGTGAGAACTGGTGGGAGGGAAAGCTATCGAAGAAGGAGCACCGGAGACTGGACGAGAAAGATATCCCGGGCAGAGTTGGAAAAGGAATTCCTTGGCTTACCGTGCGGGTTGGGAGTGAGGGCTAGGTGGAGGGCCCTTTGCTTGGTGTGTGTGCCAGAGGTAGGAGAGGGAGGACTTCTGCAGAAAGTAGAACTGGCCATGGCTTGGGAATGAATTATTACACCTATTTCTTGCTGGGGCAATTGGGAGGAGCAAGAGGAGAAAAGACAACGCCTGAGACCTGAACCTCCTGTTGCTGATAAGGAAGCAAAGGAAAAAGAAATGACGTGCTTCACTAGGTCATTACCCATGAAACACATAGATCTTTACTTGGAATACAGTCAAGTGCTGCTTAGATTGGGGTGTGAATTCTGGGAAATAGTTGTTGGTGGATTCGGTCATCATGTGAATATCACAGAGTGCACTGACCCAAACCTAGAGAGTATAGCTTGCTACATACTTGGGCTATATGGTATACCTCGGCGCAAAGCCTGTACGACATGTTATGTCCACAATGACAAATAAAGCAAGCACAAGGGGAAATCATGCAATCGAGACACTTGATGAACATAAGATGTGTGAGGTTTCTGCCAGTGCAACAAAGCATACTGTTTTACAGTAAACTTTTTTAATGAATAGAAAGAGCAGACTCAAAAATAACAATAAAAAGTGCAATATAGGCCCTGGCTGGTGTGGCTCAGTAGATTGAGCACTGGCCTGTAAACCAGAGTCACCAGTTCGCTTACCAGAGCACAGGCCTGGGTTGTGGGCCAGGCCCCCAGTAGGGGGCGTGTGAGAGACAACCACACGTTGATGTTTCTCTCCCTCTCTTTCTCCCCTCCTTTCCTCTCTCTAAAAAAAAAAAAAAATCAATAAAATCTTTTTTTAAATGTAGTATAGGTAATACATAAACTAGTAACAGTCACTCATCATTATCATTATCATTATCATTATCAAGTGTTCTGTATGTGCTATATTATTACAGGACTGTCAGGGCAATAGGTTTGTTTATACCAGCATCACCACAAACACATGAGTGATGTGTTACTCTATGACATTATGATGGCTACAAAGACACTGGGTGACAGGAATTTTTCGGTTCCATTATAGTTACGGGGCATTGTCCTACATGTAGTCTATTGACTGAAACTCCTTAGGTGGCATGTGACTGTACAAGGAGGGGGGGTCCCAAAAACTAGAATTTATTTCTAAAAATTGTGTGTTTATTCTTACATGTTTGAATTTCAGTCACCTTCAAAGTACTCTCCATTTGATGCAATATACCAGTCAAGATTTTTTTTTACCACTGCTCAAAACAATTTTTGAAATTGTTGATTCTGATGCCTTTTAGTGCTTCTGCCGTTATTTTGTTTCATCTCTTCCACACTGGCAAAACTTTTCCCTTCAAGGACTTTTTTCATCCAGAGAAACAAACGAAAAAACTTGCATGGTGGGAGATCAGGTGAATAGGGAGGCTGGGGCATGGGGCCGCACCATTTTGATCAAAAACTGCTGAACGCTCAGTATGGTGCGGGCAGGTGCACATCGTGAAATGGGAAAACTCATTCACAGAATCTACAAAAAAAATTCACTGAAGCCAAATCACGGCCTCTCACAACAATGCTGGCTGGCATACTGATACAGATGGGTTTCTGGAACACTCACCTAGTGGGGGAAGCCTGTACTTACAAGAGGCCTGTCTTCCAGAAGATGATTCTGGGTTTGGGGGGGGTTCCCCCCTTGATATTCTTTATTACAGGAGAAATTACAGGAGGCAAAACTTTTCTTAACTTCGAGGTCTCATCTGGGTTATTAAGGACCACTGGGAGTGGTCGCTGGTGTAGAGGGGAGAGTGGCAGGTGGGAGGAGAAGTTGCAGGGTGCCTGGAACCCGCTAGAGGCTGGGAGTCAGTGCTGGCAGAGGGAGCGCTGGAGCTTCCAGGGCTGCGGGAGGTTTCTGCAGCTGGAAGCCAGGGCCGCTTCCCTCCCCGGTGTGGTAAGGCAGCAGGAAAATCCTACCACCTCAAGGCATCCCATCAACATCCTGGTCATTTTGAGGGGGTGGAGGGAAGGAGAACTAGCAGCATTTTGCAGCTTAGCTGGGGTGAGGTGTAGAGACACCCGGCTTGGGGCATTATGTGAGAGGAGGAGAGTATTCACAACTGAAGTGTCTGCAGCTTCGAGCCTAAGAAGGCCCGGGACTTCTCTTATGGGGAGAAAGGAAGTGAAAAGTAAATGGAAACTTTCATTTGGCTGTGTTCTTGGTGAAAGAGAGGTGGCTAAAAAGGTGTCGTGACCTTGGTTGGAAGTCGATCAGACTTCCGGCCAAGGTTGGAGAGAAAGGGCTGATTTAACAAATCCTGCAGAGGAGGAGGAAGTCAGGAACATTCAGTGGTGACACGATGGATGTGGAGCCTCTAGAAGAGCAATGGGCCTGCGAGTCAGTCTCAGCACCAGGACTGACGCTTTATCGGCACTGGACGAAGGGGGCACTTTCTCCTTACACCTCATCCGGACTGTCCTTCACTCAAAGTATTTACTGAGACTCTGCTGCAGTCAACAAGATGCTAGACCGTATGGGAATGGGAGTGGGATGAGGGCTCAAGAAATTCCTAAGACATAATTTCTAAGATGTGATTTCTTCCCTAAAAGAAGTTACGCTGAAATTGGAAATACAAGACCAACAGATATGACACATCAAGGCAAAAATTCATGAAACCAGGGGAGGGAGAGCTGCCTCCTACCAAAGCTTCAACAGTGAAAATGGGGTGGTGCGGACCTGCTGCTTGGAGGGGCAAGCGGGTGCCTTGAAGCTTGGGTAGGATGGGGAAAAGTAGGGAAAAGAGGCTAACGATAGACGAGGAGACAGCATTTAGTGAAGGGCCGGTGATGGAAATCAGACAGTCAGCCAGAAAGTGGAATTTATGAGAGGCAGACAGGTTATGAAGAGCCAAAAAAAGCTCCATTAAAATATTTGGACAGGAACCAATAAACAGTTAAACACACACCATCATACATCTTGGGTATGGGAGTGATACGAGGCAAGCAAAGATTTAAGGAGACCAGTGAGTCCCTGGGGAGCAGTGTGGGAGTGGGGAGACCTGGTGGTCTCCCGGCTGCAATCCAGGCCTGAGCTAATTCGGGCCTAACTTAGGGAGCTGTGCCAGCAGAAATGTTACCGTAGGAATGATTATTGCAGGCAAATGGGTATCCTTCCACCTTTACTGCCACACAGCGCTGTGTTTCTCCTCAGAACCTGTCAAAAAGCAGAGATGAAAAACAAAAAACTCTAATCTAGCGCTGTTTATACTTGGGGCTACCTAAATGCACAGCTGTGCTGCAGAATGTTAGACTCGGGGAATTGAATTCCGTCTTTAGAATCCCCCAAAGCTCCACTGTTTGCAAAGTGACAAAGGATATAATTTGTTGGTATCCGTGTTTCCATAAAGCGGTCCTCTGGCTTTCACGTACACTTTACTTTTAAGTCTCATTTCTACTTGAAGTCACACCTTATTTTCCTTTTTCAAAGGAATGTGAGTGATGCTCTCTGCGATGCACTGGCGTGCGTGCGTGGGTGGGCGAGGGTGAAAAGTACCTGGAGAACCCGCACCGAGTGGACGTAAGACCTGGTCCCAACCCTGCCGTTCATTCCCCGACTCTGAGATGTCTGCAAGTGAGGGGTTTCTGCACTTTTTCTCATTTGTAAAATGAAGGGATTGCTTCAGATGAGACTGCGGTTCTTAGCAACTTCACATTTAACTGATCTTTAAATTTCCACTGGGAAATTTAAAAGAAAATCTATTTGCCATAGTATTTCACATCCATCTGCTTTGCAGTGGGATCTTTGTTCCACGTGAACATGACCATCAGGCAGAGAATCAGGGGGCTTGGTCCTGGCGGGGGCAATGAATTCCTTTAGAGTGAGTTTTTCATCTTAAAGAAATTGGATCATCCTCTGTAATTCTGTTTATACTTTCTCCTTCTCATCTACTTGCTATACAACAATAATACTAAAATTATAACAAGTGAAAAGGGAAAAGTGTTTCTTTTCAAAAAATGAGTGATTTTTAAGGTCAAAAAATATATTCTCCTTATTGAAATCTAAAACACTGAAATGTGCATGTCGGTTTTGAGTTCTACAGAAAGCACAAATGTTTCCGTGATCTAGTATCTAGCTCTCGAGTTATAAAGCAGGAGGTGGCAGCAGGTAAAATTCCCATCATTCAAACAAAGCAACTGAAGCCCCAAACACTGGAAGATTTTAGGATTTGCCTCTTCAGCTGTATTAAGTACTTAAAAGAATGTTGGGAGTTTTTTTGGCTGCCCCCCCCACCCCACTTCTAAAACCTCAGGTTTCACAGGCCATACTTGCATATTGACAATTGTTGCAAACCAGTCTTTGCCATTTCTCTATTCTATCTTGCTATGTGGAGATGCCCCAAAATTTCTGGAAGACCCCAATACTGCAGGCATACTTTGTGGTACCCCGCTGGTGTTTGACCTGCCAGCAACTGTGCCAAAACTGAAAGTGCCAAGGACTACAGTCCTTATGTCCATCCCAGCTGCTCGGACCTCTGACATGCCTCTTCTCTGTGGAGACCACTCTCCCCAGGGCTCCTGTGCTCCTTGA